GGTGACCATGTGGCAATCTTTTCTCCATTCCCCCTGGGATTTGGGGCACACAAACACACACACACCCAGCATGAGTTTCAGTCCACCAGACCCAGGACTTGAACCACATTCAGCTGTGTTGGAGTCCAATGCCTTAACCACTATGCCACCTGCTGCCCCATAATTTTTATTTAAATGATCATATTATGCCAAACTTGAGATATAATGTGTTTGTTGATTTAAAAATTTTCATCCAAAACACAAAATAATCTTCCAGAACTTCAAAATAACAACTGAAAAGGATTCTATTCAATGAGAAATGAGTATAAAATAGGGTTGGAGAAAAGTCACAAATAAAGGGTATGCCCGACAATATACATTGGGTTGCAGGAAAGTCATGATGCATTTTACACAGAAAAACCTAGAGAAATATATCATGACCTTTCCAACAAACTAGTATCTTTTTTTTTTAAAGAATTGTTTTAATTTTATTATTCATTCATTTTATTTTAATTTGACCAGAGAGAGAGAGAAAGAGAGAAAGGGAAAGTGAGAAAACAAGCTGCCAGGTCCTGGACTCGAACCGTGGTCAGCCATGTGGGAGTGTCCAGCACCTTAATCACCATGCCACCTGCTGGTCCCGACCTAATATCTTATAAAACCCACTCAGCTGCACAGTCTGACAAGTACAAAAATATGTACAAGGTATAGACTAGAATCCATGAGGTACAGAGTGTCATGGGCAAGTCAAGCCACACACGGGCCTCGGTGTAACAGTATCTGTCTACTGGACCACAGACGCATTCGCCAAGGCATCAGTGAGATTTCGCCGTCTAGCAACATTGGGCTGACAGTCATTTTACCAGTTACCTGCCTAGAGAAAACTCCCGGGAGAACACTGTAACGACACGTGCAGGAAACACATCGGTGGGCAGGACTGATGTTTATCACCTCGTATGTTGGTGAATCTGCTAACGACACCATGGGAGTCACTGGGGGTCTCTGGGCCTTTATGGCTGTCAGGCCCTACAGTACACAGAGCCCATACATGCAAACACAGGCTTTGGGGATTTAGCTGCATCTCACAAATGATCTCACATCTGAGGGAAGACAAATTAGTCAACAACTGGTGTGGAGTCCACTGTCTCCACCTGCTTAAAAACTGAGTCCTCACATATACTCATTCACCAAAATAACCTGAAGATAGTACAAGGCTTTAAAAAAAAAAAAAATGTCTGGCCTTTGTAATAAAAACACATTGTTTTTTATATACTTATTTCTTTAAATCACTCTATGGGGCCAACTGGAGCCACTGGTGGTTGAGGTAGCTGGAGCCCACAGGGCCAGGAGTATGGTTCAAGTCCCGGACACGATGGCTGGATAAGCACGCCAGGCACGTGTGTGTACGCCCAAAATCTGAAAAGGAGAGAGAGATGGAGGAGAAGGGACTGTGGTATGGCCGTCGCCCCTAGAGGGTGATTTCTCACTTTCCCTCTCACTTTGTTTTTTCTCTTTCTCTCCAGTGAGTGTACACACCCTATGGGGAAAAAAAGAAAAAAAAAAAAAAATAAGGCCTGCTCATACATTGTTGGGGGAGTTTAAATTGGTTCTACCCCCTGGAGAGTAACATGGTAACAGCTATTGAAACTTAAACTGTGGGTACTCCATGTCTTGGCAGTTCTAACTCAGAAATCTAGTCTACAAATTTATTTCCACAATGTGGAAAAATACAATGCTGTTGACTTTGACACTTTTTCTAAAACTAAAAACCTAGTAATGATTAAAATGTCCATCAATAGGTTAAATAAATTAAGCCACAGCCATAAAATTAAGTATAATGCAGTCATTCAAAGCAAAGAAGTTCGTCGGAGCACACTGATGCTGGAAGGAGACCGATATTCACCACCAAGTGGAGCAGGGAAAACTAGTTCTGTACAGCATATATTACACACACAGGACCTTTCTGCAGGTACAGAAGAAATCACGATGAAACAGAGGATTTGGGAAACGGGAACTTCTGCTTTATTTCTACGATCCTTGAATTCTTTGAAAGATTCTATCTTCTATTTTCTTTTTAAGTTTAGCTACAGGGCATGTGTGCTAACTAGAAATGGAGAGAGAAGATGGGAAAGCACCCTGTAGGCTGGGTGACCACATCGCAATCCCTTCTCTGCATTCTCCACTTGGGATCTTGGGCATGCACACAAATGCTCTTGGAATGTTCTCACGCCGCCAGTTGACACATGCAGTTGGCCATGTGAGTTCCAGCTGCCTAAAAAGCCATTCCACCTGGCTGGCCCCCTGTATCTTTTTAATTAAAACAAAACAAAAACACTAGCTATTAAAAAATAGTTTCCTGGGACCAGCAGGTGGCGTGGTGGTTAAGGTGCTCAACACTTCCACATGGCTGACCACGGTTCGAGTCCCGGATCTGGCAGCTTGCTTTCTCACTCTCTCTCTCTCTCTCTGTCTCTCTCTAGTCAAATTAAAATAAGTGAATGAATAAATAAAATAAAATAAATAATTATATTTTTTAAAAAATCGTTTCCTTGCAGGACCAGCAGATGGTGTAATGGTTACATTGCTGAACTCCCACATACTTCACCCTGGCTCAAGTCCCCGACCCCATGGCTTAAAACTCACACTGGGCCGTGTGTATGCATGTGTGCCCAAGAGAAGAATGGAGGGGAAGGGACTGAGAACCTTTATAAGAAAAATAAATGTTCTAGAACATATCCAGGAGCAACTTCTCCACTGCGACGAACTGGACTGGAACGGACTATGCCTGACCTGAGGCAGAGGGGGGGAGCCGAGCTGGAGCTGTGGCCGGCGTTAGTCGCTGGGCTGACCACAGCTGCTACAGGACTTGCAGGTTGTTGTGTTTTGTAAACCGTGAAGTATATGGAACCTCAAGTAAAAAACAAGTTTTTCAAAGTCTACCAAAATCTGTTTCTAGTGATGGCTCCTACAAAGGGGAATTTGAATCTAAAACAACAAAACAGGAAACAGCGTTGACATTCAGTGTAAGCCCTTCTGCCAATGAAGGAAAAATAAGAGCTGCTCATTGATGAATTACACTCTTAAATCATCCAGAAAAAGCAGGAGCTCCTTAGATAGCAGCCAAAATCAACAAAGCTAAGGATTTATGAGAAGCTGGAGCCAAGAAGTGAAGTAAATGTATGATGGTTTTAAGTTCATAGTAGTTTATATATCTGAGTACAAACTTCTTATATAAAATGCCTCGGGGCTATGATTTTTAAAAATGATTTAGCACAGAAAAATCCTAACTCATTCTTTTTATCTGCTGCTTAATGCTTCAGGTTAGGGATAAATTATAATTTATACCTGAATACCAGGTATTCAGTTTGCTATCATAAATAATTCAGATTATTTCTGATGACCACCTCATTTGAAGGGCATCTCATACACGTATAGTTATTTCTGATAGGTCACTTTCTGAAAGTCGAGGTGCTAGATCAAAGGATTTTTGCTATATGGTGTGCCTGCTTGCCAAAGACGCAGAGAAATTCAGAGAAAGAGAACATGAGAAATCGCCCTCCCCCCGGGGGGGAGGGTGGCCACATGGCAATGCCTTCTCCTCTCAGGATTTTGGGCAAGCACACACATACGCCCAGCATGAGTCTCAAGCCACTGGGTCCAGGATTCAAACAACGATCAACCATGTGAGAGTCCAGCACTTCAACCACTACTCCACCTACACATTTTACACATTGATAAATATGGTCAAATTGCCCTCCGAAGGGACATACGCACTGTACTGTCAGTAACCACCGTCGTCAAAATCAGGAACAAAATGCATACTACTGTGTGAAAAAAAAAAAAAAAAACAGGTATTTTCATACATTTAAAAAGTGGACTACTGGGGACCAGCAGGTGGCATGGTGGTTAAAGTGCTGGACGCTCCCACATGGCCAACCACAGCTCGAGTCCTGGACATGGTGGCTTGCTTTCTCACTTTCTCTCTTTCTGTCTCTCTCTCTCTCTCCCTGTATGTGTGTGTGTGTATCTCTTTCTGGTCAAATGAAAATAAATGACTGAATAAATAAAATGAAATAATTCTTAAAAATAAAAAAAATTAAAAAAATTTTTAAAAAAAAGGCAGCTCATGACCCCACAGCACGGCAATAACGAGCTACTGAAGAGAAGCCAGACCCACAGGGAGACTTCAGCACACGCCCCTAGGCAGGTCTGCCTGCAACGCACCAGGAGGACGTGAGGGCCCAGCATTCCATGGGACAGAGGACTGGAGAAAGGGGAGCACAGCACGCAGACCCTGTGAAAGGCACTCCTCTCTCTTCTATCTCGAGTACTCTATCGAGGATGTAGAAGAAAGGTGGCCTTCACTTTCAAAACAAGAGGGGCATCACAGTTCCAAAGCCTTAATTTATCCTGGTCAGCCCTTGAGCCCCTATCCAACTGCCTAAATGCTCATCTCAACATTACTCAGACCGTGGCTCCCTGCAATGCCTGGCTCACGTCAAAACCCATTTTCTAGAACACGCCAGCCCTGTCCCCCAGTCAAGTGGGGGAGGGGGGGGAAGGTCTCGAGACCCAGAGTGCTCCTGTCATCACCCAGCAGTCCCGCCAAGGCCCGCGAGGACAGAGTTCCTCCACGTGATGCTCTTGTGAAAGCTCAGTTGCTAAGTTCTAAGGCAGCAATGGGTTAAGATCCCTTAATCAATAATCATCGGCCTACAGGTAGTTTACACGTTTCATTTTGTCCCGCGATATTATTACACGGAGGAGCAAGAGCAGATAAAGGTCATGTTAGTAATTAAAGCTATATTGTAGAAATATGAACATCCAAGATATGATTAAATAAGAAAATATTACTCAGTTCAAGTATCGTCATTAAACTTGCATTAATTTATAAATATTTAAATGTACCATATGATGATCATAAATAATCTGTTTTTGTCACTTTCTAAAGTAATGCAACCCATAAACCCTTTGAAAAATGACTGCAGAAGAGAGTCGAGGAAGTATCCAGCCAGACTTACATTCAAATGCTGTGGTGGTTGCTTCGGGCAGAACCTGGCCTATCACATCCTAAACAAAGGAAGAATAAAGAAACACAATTAGCCATCTTCTTTATTGCTAACATGTGGCAAATACTGGAGGAAATATGAGAACCTGGGAAAGACTTTTGAAATGTTTGCATAAACTATAAAAACATTAGCTCATAATCACACTTAGCCTAGCAATATAAGCCTGGAGTTTAAATCTCTATTCCAGGGAGAAGAACCTTCAGGAAACCTTTGCTCCTCTGTATCAGTAGTATACTCTCGTACTCTCAATTCTACAGTGTCATACAAACATGCCGTTGTGTATGCACCAAGAATGTCCATTTCTTCCATGGGAGGCTGTGGATCGCACGGCAGTGGAGACGGGTTTGGCCTTTCCCATCACACAGATGCCTCAGGAAAACCATCACTTAACCTCACGGAGCCTCAATTTGCTTATCCTCTAAAATGGGCCTAGCGTCCTTGCAGAGGCGATGTAAAGATTAAGTGATGTAATAAAAACGAGTGTGGGGGCCAGCACGCAGGAGGCACTCAACAAATGTCACTCCTGTTCTGTAACGTGCCACACCTGTCCTTGCACTTGCAGTGACAGGACTGCAGTACGTAAGTGCCTGGGATGATGACATAAACCTATCATGCCATACTTGATACGAGCAATTCTTACCAACCTTCGCTCTTTTTTTCTTTTCTTTTTTTTTTTTTTTTTTTTTTTTTTTGAGAGAGGGATTTTTTTTATAGGGTACATGGTG